TTGCACACATTCTAGGAAAAAAAATTATAATTTTGCTAGATTTTTTTCCCTGTAAAGTAAAATTTCTAACTCCACCGCTACTACTGTTACTCGTTAAAACGGAAAATTAATATTTCCAAATAACTCTATCTCTTTAACTAAAAAGATACAGTTAACCAATACAAGAAAGGGTTTAATGGTGTAAAGGTAGAAAGCCTAGGCTGCTTGGATAGTTTGGACACATATTTTCAGATTGCACGTTTGGGAAGCAAAACCTAGGTCAAAGAACAGACAAAAAAGGCTCCAAACGAGGGGTTAGGTTTTTGGAGTTTGCTACAAAATTTGAAGTCCCAAAGTTAGGCATTTGACTCAGTGAAAGTCTCTTCATTTAATTGTGAGTCATCTTCTTGCTATCCACATTGAAGACATGGTGGGCAAATTTTTGTACCATGAACTGAATTTAATATGCTTTCATTAGTTGAAGTTTGAGAGTTTTAATATTATACATGAAAAATTCAAACTTTTTGGTGGGCTATAATTACTTAGTTTGCATAATTGGTTTTCAAGAAGCAAGAAAAGTGGGGAAATCCATGTCCTAGATTTCCAAAAGTGGCTCCAATATCCAAGTTAATTTTGACTTTTGCTTCCCAAAAATCAACTCATATTTATGTAGCTTGATTTATACAAATTAAAAGTGTATTTGAGGCAAATAATGTGTAAGCCAGGCATAGAAAAAAAGCCTCAAAATATTTATAGTAATGAAAAATATACTTAAAATCTGTGCATTGATGTTTAAATAATGGTCCACAACTCCTCAATGAAATGTACATTCTCCCCTTTTTGATCGTGAACACATTCAGATAACATAAGGTTGTAATGTCGAAGCATAATTATCAAAAAATTAAAATGTTTCTTTAATTCAATAAATAAAATTGTCTAAATATTTACGTGTATGTTTTATTAAAAATAAAGGATTCGAATTTTTATTTAAATTCAATGACAATTTTGAATTAATTCTGAATCATGAGCTTCCAACTTTTTGTTTCCAAGAACTTGATACTTTAAACTTCCAAATCTTTTATAGTATTCTCCAAATTTTTAATTAAATCAAGAAACTAGTTATTGGACTAGACAATTGAAAAAGTAAGAAAAACAATTAATCTCTTTTTCTCTCTCCAAATTTGAACACTATGAAACTATGTATTATGATTGTTTTATTCTGTAGGATGTTTAGATTTCATTTAATCTCTATTTATAGAGATAAAATAGTTTCAATCATGATACCATAATAACTTCATATTCAAATAGGAGTGTTAATTAAAGTCTAATCCAATTAGTTTATATTTAATTATATATATAGTTTTAGAACTTCAATTACAATTATAATTAATTTTACAACTTTTATAGCAATACAACTAAGTACAAAATTTTATTGTAATTACAATTAAGCTCAAAACTATTCTAATTATTGTGACTAAGTTCCATTACTTTATAGAGCTATCAAAACTATTCTAATTATTGTGACTAAGTTCCATTACTTTATAGAGCTACCATATGGACTTGATCGGGCATATATTACCAAACTCCAATAATTAGATCATATTTAGAAGATCCTAAACTACTCAATCTAATTATTAGTCTTTGTTTTTTCGCAAAAGGCAAAAGATTGAACTCTTAGACGTGTACTTTACCCCAATCTAAGATTCAATAATACGGTATATGCATAAATGATCATTTTGCCCTTCCAATTATTCTCATTAACTTAAATGTCATTTTCTTCAACGGTCCTATAAACAAATCATAGATATCGAAATTTAATCGTTGCTAAACATTGAGTTCAGATTTTAACCGTTCAACAGAAATTACTTAAATAGTTACTCTACCCTTTTTTAGGGCTACAATTACGACACAAATCATCGAGATATTTGAGCAATCAAATTGATCTGACCCATTAATTAATCAAAGAACGTTTAAAATCACAAAAAGATCTATATGACCCTATCAAAGGATTCGGATGAAATACACGGTGATCAAGTGAAATTTAATTCTCCACATGGTCATACTATGGAATTAAACTCGACCATGTAGTCTGTCCAATACACTCCAAGTGTATTAGCATCATCTTTAGTTATTTCTATGATAAGGATAAATCACATACCTGAATAGTGATTCGATTAACACTATGATCTTCCATTACAATGTGTCAACCCTTATATACTGGTTGTGAACAAATTATTTATGATAAAAATATAAGTATGTCTTTTCCCGAAAAGGCTTGAAACAAAGTCACTAAAAGAACTTTGTTTTTTCTCCGTGTCACACTGTACTTCTCAATACAAGTACTCATCTTATATTATTACAAGTGATTATAGATACTTTAATTCGCACGCTCAATGCAATAAATATATAAAATCATGATTTATTTATTATAAATTATTATTTTATCATGCAAAATATTCTATATGGACACACAACCCAAAAAATACAATGTAGGATATATCAATTTCTTTGAATGGAATACTACACTTACCATACTTATAACCATTTTTAGTATCCAAATTTTTTACTTAATCGTATTTTATATTTACTCACAATACATTCGAAAGATAAATAAAAAATGTTGCTTCATAGCGTAACATTTAAGTAATTTACTAGAATACTAGCTATGGGTTTCACATTAATTCTTTTGTGTGACATTTTAGTGCAAATTACAATAAATAAAAGGAGCAGTTATTGGATTAATTAATTTACAACTTGGTTAGCTTGCTTCTTAAGCAAATAAAGCCTAAATATAATCCTTGTTTGGTAGAGAATTTTTTTCATAGTAGATCTTGTGAAAAGTGATTATTTTGGAGAACGTGTATTTAAAAGTAGGAAAAATATGGATTCACGTGTAAAATTATTTTGTTCGGAAAATGTGATAAAAATGAGATCAGAAGAAAATAAATTTAAAAAAAATGTAGGCAAAGATGTTTTTGAAATAAAACTTATCAAGGTGTTTATGATATATATATATATATATATATATCATAAACAAATAACAAGATAAAAGGCAAAAAATTAACTAATAGAAGAATGGAGAATTTTAACCAATTGACTAATATGGAGAAAACAAATACAATAATTGTGCTATATTGCAATATACAAAACTTGTGAAAAGAATCTAATATTTATAGATGTGCTTGTCAATCCCAAGAAATACTACAAGGATAGAAACAAGATAAAAAATCACGTGAAATAAATGAAACAATATTTTTTCAGTAAAAGTGCATGGATAAGGAAACAATATTTTCCAAAAATAAATAAATTCAATCTAATTTGGGTCAAAAAAAATCCAACAAAAGAAGAGCTTAATCTCTTTTCCTACGTCAATAAGCATGAGGGAAAGAACAAAATTTGCATAATAATGTTTTCATTTTCCAAGGTAGGAAAAAGAAGAGAGCCTGATTTACCATTAATTTCATGGTTTAATTTTTCTGTTGGTCTTCAGCTCGAGATGTTAAATACGAATATTATGTTGACATTATAAGAAGACGACAACAACAACAATAATAAAACTTATGCACTCTCCTTTACTAATTAAAGTTGTAAGAATACAGCTAGTTTTAAATTTGAATCTTTGCTTTATGTGGCAAAATAAAATTTCAAATTGTTTAACTAAGTATTTAAATGGGATAAAAGACTAGATTTATTATTTTTGAGTTAAGTTTAAACATTTTTTTCCAAATGCTCGGGTAATTTATTAAAACATTAAAAAAAAAAGGAAAAAAAAAAAAGGAAAGCAATGTGGAGAAATTAATAAGTTTTCTTCCCTTATTTTTAGTGAAACTGCGCATGCATTTAAAGTTTCTATAACTAATTTCGTCTTCAACCTTCATCCAAGGGAAAACCCCTAAAGTCAACTTGTTTAAGCAAATTTTTGATTTCTTGAATAGAGGTTTTCTATACCCAAAATACACTGCTGGTAGATTCACCATAATCTAATATTAGATTTTAATAAGTCCATCTATGCTCTATAGACCTTATGACTAAACCCTACATAAATCCAGGGCATCTTTCATTAATCTGATAGATTAATTCATAATTAATATATAAAATCTGACAAGTCAGTGGAATAGAAGCTGTGGGGGAATGGAATAGAAACTATGGCATTTTTGGATTCTGAGATACTGACCCCTCTAAAATAAACTCTGACCTGAGACTAGTCTCTCTTAAAAATTTAATTTAATTTAATTAATACTTTGAATACAAGTTTGAGTTTTTTGCATTGGGAGTAGGTTTTGGTCCACTATTTCCAACTAATATTTCAAACACAAGTTAAAATAAAAAACCATGTTTTTAGAAGTTTGCTTTGTCTTCACATGAAAGACAAATAATTAATACGACACTTATCTCAATTAATGAAAAAATTGCATCATCGGTCTCCAACCTTTAGCTTGAATTGCTAGTTGGTCTCCAAGCTATCAATATATAAACATATGTAGTTGTACTGGTATTCTCTATCGACATAAATCGTCTAAAAACTTTGTTAAATTGTCCTGTCGTCATAATGGGACCAACTTTATGAAGGCCAAATCTATTAGCACAAAATCACTGAAGCAATACACTTTTCCTATTTATAAAGTTGGTCGTGTGTCCCATGACACTTTAATATAGAAATTTGGGCAGTTTTTGTTGTTTGGGACTAATTTTGCACCTTAAGTTGAAAGGTTAAGACCAATTTGCACTCATGAAATAAGCTGGGAACTAGTGGTGCAAATTTTCCCTTAATTAATATCAATATTATTATGCATGAAAATCACACTTAATTACATCCCAATCCCCATGAGGGGTGATTTGGTGTTTCTTGAGATTCCTCAATTTGGACTTAAACAAAACACTATTTGAGTCATGAGCCATTTAAGTATAAGAAATTAAGAGTCTTCGCTAAGAATTTATATTTTTGACTTGGGGTTTTCTGGGTGGCTATTTTCTCAAAAACAAGCTTCTTTAAAGTCACCACAAAAGTCGGCTGATCCTTCGGAGGCAGACCCCTTCTCGGGGTGCATATAATCACTTCAAATTAAGGGATTCTTCACTCACTCTTTTGAGTTATCTGTTTGGACAGCATGCTTTTAGGTTAAAACTTCATAGTTGATCTCAAACTAGGTTTAAGGATTTATGTTCAAGATTTTCTGTTTCCTTTTCTTGAAACTGGTTTTTATTTTCTAAACCATTTGGTCCAGCTACCTATAGCTAGTGAAGGTAAAGCTAACAATTTGTTTGTCTAATTTTCTGGAAGAATATTTCAAAACATACAGAAATTAAAGATCTGTTTAAGAAGAAAAAAGTATGGAGGAGAGAAATGAGAGTGAGAAAATGGATGAAGTCATGCTGCCAGGATTCCGGTTTCATCCGACTGATGAAGAACTAGTAGGGTTTTATCTAAGAAGAAAGATTCAGCAGAGGCCTCTTTCGATTGAACTCATCAAGCAACTTGACATCTACAAATATGATCCATGGGATCTTCCAAGTAAGAACAATCTCTTTGTTATAAAGTTTGAAGTGCTTTCCTGTTAAACCTAGTTTGATCTATGATTCAGAATGTTTTCTTGTTATTATTTCTCTCCCAGGTTTTCTAACTGAACTTTTCACTTCCTTTACCTATTGATTTACTTTGGTTTTAAGACCCTTTAGTTCTTTTATTCTTTCTTGGCGTATATCAATAGCCATATGACAACACACTGTGCATGTGCGTGTGTGCGCACGTACATGCAAGGATTTTTCAAGTTCAAATCTTTTTCCCAAAAAGTTTAGGGTCAGCCACATGATTTTTTTTATTTTACTTTTATTTTTTTTATTTTTGGCCCACATTTTGGGTGTATTGCTAGATCTACTGAAATATCTCCAGACAGCAGAACTAGATCTTAACCAGCTTTCCTTTGAAATTTCTAAAACATACTCTTGCTATGTTTTCTCTATGATAACATGCAACCTAACTATCTAGTTCTTGGTGCTCATAATTTTCTGCAACCCAGAACTGGCAACAACTGGAGAAAAAGAATGGTACTTTTACTGTCCAAGGGACCGAAAATATAGAAACAGTGCGCGTCCTAACCGTGTAACTGGAGCCGGATTCTGGAAAGCCACAGGGACTGATAGGCCTATATACTCCTCAGAGAACTCAAAATGTATTGGCTTGAAGAAGTCACTGGTTTTCTACAAAGGGAGAGCAGCAAAAGGTATAAAAACAGACTGGATGATGCACGAGTTCCGGCTTCCCTCAGTCCCCGACTCCGTTTCCCCTAAACCATATCTCCACAAAAACATTCCAGCTAATGTATGTATATCAAATTTCCTTTAACATAAAGTTGATCATTTTTAGTCTTTAACTTTTTTCAAATATATTCGTTTGTTAATAGGATTTTTTTCCTTCTTCTTTTTGGATTTCTCAGGAGTCATGGGCAATATGTAGGATTTTCAAGAAGGCAAACTCGAGCACAAAAAGAGCATTCTCTCATTGTTGGGACCAGAAAGACATCAGTTCAAGTTTTCGCAACACACTCGTACATGAAGGAATCATTAAAGATTTTACCTTTTCGAACTCGTTATGTAACTCATTAGGGGCACGAGAAACAATATCTACAATACCTGAGACCACTACTACATCTGACATGATAAATCCTCGTGCTTTTACTCCTGATCAGTTCATTACTGACAATATGTCATTGGCAAACAGAACGAATACAGCCTTCCATTTTGGTTTCTTAAACAACAATATAGAAAAATCATCAATTGCTAGTTTTTCTGCCGTTGAAGTTCCTCCCTACAAACCAATAAACCAAACTAACAATAGACCCTGTGAAGTTTCCATTTCCAATGGAAACTTAACTCCAAGTTATACGTTCTCATCCGCAGAACCCACCTCAAAATGCACCATTGATGCTTCTTCCATGTTGCTGAACTCTATATATGGAGATTTTGGTAAGAACTTGGAGTGCAGTACATTGCAAGAGCAATGTGACAGCTTTTCCACCGCAATATTACACGACATGCAAGGAAACATGTGCCATGGAGAAGACACGTCCGGCTTAATACAACAAATAAAACATTGTTCTCAACAAATTTGGGATCAACCAGACACGGGCTTAATGAAGGACCATAATGTGGCACAATTAGATGGATTTCCTTTTAGTTTCCCTTTGAGTATGCCTGCCGATGCATGGAAGTCAAATTTGTTGTGGGATTCCTCTCCTTGTCCCACTGAATTTTCAACAAGTTATTCTACTAATTAACAATTGCTATACCTGACCAGATAGACTAATTATCCCAATTCTAATCTGGGTTTTTGACTTATGAATTTGTTTGTTATATTTCATTATTTTTAATGTTTTATGTTTTTGTAGAATTTTACGGATAGTGTTGTAAACATTAAATTATATAGGACTCCAACTTTACCATTAGTTTGTATGACAATTGTCTTTTGTTGGATTTAATACGAATCTTAATTTAGAAAACCTTTTTCTATATTGCCAAGTTCCTCCATATCAAATCATCAAAAGAATTATAAAGTGCAGATTTGATCTGTTGGGAATAATTCTTTATTACTAGATTTTGAATTGGACGCTCTTCTTGATTCTTGATTGCGATTTTTGATCTTTCTCCTTGATATGATTTTTCTTGATATTCATGTATTGATGGGATGATACAAAGAATGAGAAGTCACACACGATTTGGGGACCATATCCCTATATATATATTTTTTTCCATATGTATTTCAACTCATTATAAAATACAATCCAAAGGAATCTAGTCTCTACACATATTTAGGCTCATACAATATTTAGATATCCAAAGCTCAATAACTTTAATTCTTTATTAAATCACTTTAAATATGCTTAATCTTAAGATAGCCTTTAACACACAATTAATTATATATGTAGGCTCACTTGATAAATTAAAACTCAACACCTTTGTCTTAGTCGAGTCATTTATTCGGTTCATGCAAAGCCAATGCTATACAGAAAGTTTATGTTCTTGTTGGATTGCAATGTGAGATACTTCATACCGTAAATTGTTTTGGTCCCCCATATAAACACAACTAGCACCAAGAACACAATATAAACCAAAAATAATAAAGAACATAAAGATTTTTTGGTGTAAGTCTTGAAGGTTCAATCATTATTTCTAACACTTAGTCTTTTGTTAAGCATGTGTTAAGAATTACACTCGAACTCACTAGCATGACCTCAAATCACAAGGTAAAAATCGAGATTACAACCAATTCTCACACAAAGAATGTAGAACGAAAAACCCCTTCATCATTCACTTAGAAAACATGTATCTTTTTACATTGATTTTCACCAAGAAATCTCAAGAAGAAGGAAGAAGATGAAAGAACATAATGCAAAGGGAACTATAGAAAAGCTGGGATTTTCAGTATTCTATCTTCTTTTGTAAAAAGTGTGTATACATCAAACAAACACCAAAAGTCTATGTGATTGTATATCTATATATAAACAACATGTTAATAATGGCTAATAGCCACGAAATAATGATAAACACCAAGAAAATGTTAACGAAACATTTTGAGATGAAAGACTTGGGTGTGACTGATGTGATATTAGGGATTAAGATCTCTAGAACATCAAAAAAAATTATACTTTCACAATCTCACTAAATTGAGAATATACTTAAAAAGTATAATGCACTTTAAGAAACTCTTGTGAAAGCTCCTATTGACATAATTTTACACTTAGTCAAAAATACGGGTGAATGTGTGTCATAACTAAAGTATTCACAAGTTATAGACAGTTTAATGTCTATTACAAATTGTACTCAATCAGATATAACTTTTGCTGTAAATAAACTTAATAGAAACACGAATAACCCAAGCCACGATCGTTGGAAGGTTTTAACAAGGGTATTTGAAGTTTACCTTAACCTATGAATTATACTTCTCCAAATATCCTGTAATATTAGAAAGATATTGTGTCTGAATTAGATATCCGACATGAAAGATTCTAAGTCTACTAGTTATATATTTATCATTGATGGAGCTACTATATTATAGAAGTCAACTAAATAAACGTGTATAGCTCGATCAACGAAATGGAATCAGAGTTTATTGCTTTGGACAAAGTTGAAGATGAAACAAAATGACTTCATAATTTCTTAAAAGACATTTCATGTTGGCCTAAACCGGTAACTGCTCTAAGTATACATTGTAGTCAATTGACTATTGGAAAGGTTCAAAGCAGCATGTATAATGGTAAGTCTAGACATATACATAGTAGACATAATACCATTAAGCAACTGGTATCTAATAGTATTGTCTCCATAGATTATGTGAAGTTAAAGGAGAACATTGCGGATCCACTTACGAAAGGTTTACCTAGAAATCAAGTACGTTGCCTATCGAAAGGAAAGGGATTAAAGCCTATTGTGTAAAAATATTCGTAATGGTAATCCTACCTTGTTAACTAGAGATCTCAATATCTTGATTCAAGAGGACAACTAAATTATGAAGATTTAATCAAGCACTTGAGGAAATACTTCCCAACTCATTCTTATGATAATTAAATTGTTTTCTACGGAACATTAAAAGTTAACAATATATTTTAATGATTTCTATATCTTGACAAAGTCAAATGGAGTAGGGTATAATAATCTTTATAGGAGGTCACTAGTATAAGTGTAAAATGGGGCCACTTAAATGAAAATTTTAGAGATTGAAATTTTCAAAACACTTATAAAACACAAGAGTGGTTCAAGGTCAAAGCGAACCAGATCATGAGAACCATGAATGATTTAAGATATTTATATGAGTATTATTATCTTGGTTTACTCCAAAGGCTTAATGGTTCAATTTCATGTTCACAAATTAGCCAAATAAATCCGATAGTATTTCACTAAACAAGGTTTAAAGCCGGAAGTTACCTTACCCGATACAATATTTTTATGCTCTTTCTCTCTACAATGCATCATACTTTTGTATAGCATGAACATATTTGAATTTTCATTTATGTGAAGGATTGTTGGAATTTAATTTTAAAAATTAAAAATTTGGTTAAGTCTTAAATATGGAAGGCGATTTTGTGTCAACTTTGGCCAAATATTCAAACTTAATTCGAATGTCAAATTATAAATATAAATGGACTAACTTATTCTACTCATCGAGTAAATCGTCGTGGTATATTTGAAATCTCAAAATCAATTCTGGATGAATAAGAAATTACATTCTAAAATTAGAAAGAAAAGAGGAAAAACTGGCTTGAAAATTCGTCTAACTCCATCGCTTGCCTAGCACTCGAGCGACAGGCAGGCATGCAAAAAATTTATATTGAAAATATGATGCTGGTGTTTGAGCGAGAGGATAGTGACAACAAAAGTAAAATTTGGGGTGACCTCTCCGTTTCTATGAATATGACTCTTTGGACGTCCATTATGCATCTTATATCATTTTGTATTGAGCATTATATAAAAACTCTTGCAAAATCTCTTCAAAAATCATTTTCTTGTAGAGAGAAGTATTTTCTTTGAGTTCGCTGTTGCTTGTGATGACACACCCCGCCCCGTGTAACACTACCGAATCCGGACATGGCATACGCCAATAATAGATACCAACTAAAAGTCAGACCCACCATCAAGGCTACTACAAGTAAAATATATCACTTTTTATACATCATTTTTCTTACAGAATTTCGGCATTATCGCCCCTATAAATAGGATTAACCAACCTGTGATCAATTTCACACAAATCCTAAACTATAACATAACATAATAAAGATAAGCCGAAACCTCAACTTTTACCAAGAAATAAAATGAAATGTACATAGGAATACAAAATACATAGTGAGCCCCATAACTATTTACAAATGATGCAAAATCACATCCAGACATGAACATGCGTCCTAAAATACTAACTACATGTTCTATGAAGCGAGTCATACTAACAAACTCTGTCGTATGGCTCTGACTCCAAAATCAAGGCTCAACTCCAGAAGATACTCAAATACTCAATTGTTGCCTGATAAGGAAAAACGTGGAAAAATATATGAAGTTGATAGCTCAGTGAGTGAAGAAGTTCAAAATAAATATACTTTTTCATTTATACATTTTTATTGAAAATCAAATTAATATCACTTGATAATTCACAAGCTACCATCATGTAAATATAGCCAAAAAGTGAAATATTCACATAAGGTCATAAAATATCATCTTAAATTCATGATATGAACATTAGCTGATAACCACGCTATAATCTCATCACATCAAAAGTGATAAAAAAATCTATCAAAATGTACCCTCTGACTGAAATATGTAATCCGCTCTCGGGCTAAGAACTTTCGCCACGGGCCTTTGGCCACCTCCGTGAACGAAAGTCGGTCTCAAAGACCTCTAGTAATCAATTCTAGAACTCGACGAAGGCCCTTATGTAAACTATATGTACACGATCAAGACCAATCTCAGGTCAAGATCCCTCCGTGTAGGATAGAACACGGTCAAGACCCCTCTGTGAATTAGAAAAAATATATAATCACGGGGTACTTTTCTAGTCGATCTCAAAATCATATCTCATATTCCAATTCACAATATACCGTATCCAATTTTTGAAATCCCACATGTATCATAATAAAAGATAGTTCTATAATAACCATATAATTCGAACACATAATTACATATAATTGTACATACTTTAATAATATACTTACTTTATAAATACTTTAAAAATATTTATATTTCTCCACTCACAGAACTATGTATGCTAAAATCAACTCGGTTGGTAAGCTGTCCCGATATCTGTATCGCCGCCTAAAATATGATATAATTTTTAAATCAATAATTAACTATTTTAAAAAAATTTCATTAATTAAATAGGTAATTCTCAAACTTAATTATTTCACATTTAGACGATTTCTAAAGTCTCTTTAATTACTAAAACTAATTTTTTTTTCATTTTACTCAATTTCGGAGTTGATTATACTTAATCCCTTCAATAAAATTGAATTTAATCTAACAACTATAAAATTAAACATAACCTTTCAATAAGTAACCTTTTACTTACCTTTCAAAATTGAGGAATTCAAGTTTAATGGTATAACACACTTAATTCCTAACATGTTGGCGAATTTTTCTTTTTTTTTTCCTCTTTTTCCTTTTCTTTTTTCTTTCTCTTTTCTCTCTTCTTCTTTCTCTCTAGCTCATTTTCTTTATTTGTGTAGTGTGTGTTTTTGTTTTTAAATTGGGTTTGGATAAATTTATAATGGATTGGTTTGAGTTTCCACCGCCTACCATTTTTTTCCTCTTTTGTCATTTTTTTTGTTTGACTTTTCTTTCCATTAATTTAAGATATTACATGTGGTTTGAAGTGTTTCTTCCACAAGTTGAATTCGCTGTATTTTAGGAGACAAGTGCCATAATCTATTTGCACCATTGAG